GTAGAAAGATGGATGGAAACAACTAAAAACAACCAAACATCAAACGAACAATGGGAAACAGTAGAACAAATAATGAGAAAGATAGGAATAATGGACCTATTCATAGAAAAAGCAAGAGAAAAGAAAAAGGTGCCAGTAGAAACGGTAATAGAAGCAGTACAAACAAGCCTGCAGAAAGCAGAAGAGATAAGACAAGAAGAAGAGAGAGCAAAAGAAAACGAGGAATCAGAGCAAAAGAAGAAAGCCGAAGAAGAAGAGAAACTACAGAAAATGAAGGAAGAAATAATAAAAGAGCACATAGAGAAAAGAACAAGAGAAAGAGACGAACAAAAGATGAAAGAAATGATGAAATGGTATGATGAAGCAATGCTCAAGAAAAAGTACCAAATGGAAAGGAAGTCAATACAGTGCACCGCGTGCAGGAGATATGGCCACAGCAAGGAAGATTGCAGAAGACCGATGGAAAATGGGAAATACAAAGGCTATGGAAACAGGAACAGCGAAACCCAGGAGAAAGACTTAAATAAAAGAGACTTCTACTTGCCTTTAAATTGTGTAGTAAAGAAACAGAAACTAAACCCGATCAAACAAGAAAAGATGGGAAATGAGAAAGAAAAGAGGAAAGAAAAACACACACCACAAGAAGAACCACAAGAAGAACCCAAAAGAAGGAAAGCCGAAGAAAATCCAACAACCAGCAGTAAACGACGACATAAAAGGTTGGGAGGATCAGAGGAAAATGAAAAAATGTGGGATAAAATAATAAAAGGGAAAACGCACCAACAACTAAGAGAGCAACTAGCAAAAGAAAGCGAAGAAATAAGAAAAAGGAAACAAGAAGACGAAGAGTGGTACACGGCAGATGAAGAATACGAACAAGAATTCGAAAGACTAAGAAACAATGAACAAGAACTAGAGTTCAGAGCAAAAGAAGAGGAAAAAGAACTAATTGAAAGAACAAAGGATGAACAGGAAAAACTAAAAGAAATAATGAGACTGTACCCAGAAGAAATAAAAACCCTAGAAGAAATAGACAGAATAGAATACACAAAACATACACAAGCTATAATAGAAACAAAAGGGAATGAGCCGACACAAGGAGGAACAAACAGAATACCACAAGCTCTACAGGAAGGAGCAACAAAACTCCTAAAGTTGTACGAAAAGACGGGAGTGATAAGAGAAAGCACGTCGGAATGGAGAAACAGGGTATTTGTGAAAAGTGAACAAACACCAGACGGAAAAACAAAACTAAGACTGCTATCAGATATGACACTACTGAACGACATAACACGAAGGATGAACTACGAAATCCCAGACATGAAAGAAATACTCGAAAAGATGCAAGGATCCAAATACTTCTCAATAATAGACCTAAAAGACGGGTACTTCCAAATAAAACTAAGAGAAGAGGACAGGCACAAAACAGCATTTAGAATAATGGGAAGAACATACGAATACTGCAGCATGCCCATGGGATACATGAACGCGCCAATGATATTCCAGAAAATGATGGATGAAATACTAGGAGAACTGATAAAAACAAACAAGGTAGCAGTATACATGGACGACATAGTAATATACACAAAGACAGAAAAAGAACACATGGAAACAGTAAAGAAAGTAATGGACAAGCTAAAGGAAAACAACTTAAGAATAAACATAAAGAAAACAAGACTAGAGAGAAGCGAAGTAAAACTGCTCGGACTAAAAGTGAATGGATCCAATAGAAAACCAATAGAAATGAAAAGAAACGAAGCACTGAGATTCCCTAAACCAGAGACAGCCAAAGAGATGCACTCATTCATGGGGAAGATGGGATACTACAGAGACTTTATACAAGGCTTCGCAATACTGGAGATGCCACTGAGAGGATGCATGGAAAAAGCAATAGAAAGAAAAGAAAATATAGAATGGACACAGACAGCAGAAGATGCATACGTGATAATGAGACAGCGCCTGAGAGATGCAAAAGGATTAATACTACCGCACTACGAAAAGAAATTTATCTTAACAACAGACGCATGCGACTACGGACTAGGAGCAGTGCTAGAACAAGAAACACACCTAGGAGAGATACCAATAACATTCATGAGCAAAGCGCTCACACAAACAGAAAGAGGATACGGAATAACAGAGAAAGAACTCTACGCCATCGTGTGGTCTGTAGAAAAGTTACAGTACTACCTAAAAGGAAGGAAGTTCCATGTAAGGACAGACCACAAAGCACTGCTGGAAATAAGAAAAAAGAAAGACTTTGGAAAAAACAATGGAAGAATTACAAGATGGTTGGAAAAACTATCGGAATTTGACTTCACAATAGAATACAAGCCAGGAAACAGGCTAATACCCGCAGACGTGGCAAGCAGAATATACAAAGACAGACTGGAAAGAGAGATTGAAAAGAAAAACAGGTCAAAGAGAGCGGAGAAAAGAGAGCAGACAATAATAAGAAAACATACGATTGAAGAAGACGGAAAACAGTACTGGCTGATGGAACACGGAGAAAAAAGAGAAATACCGGAGGAAGACAAAAGAAAAGGAATACTAAGGAGAGCACATGACGCAACCCTGCACAAAGGAACACAAAGAATCATACAGGAAGCAAGGAAACAGTACTACTGGAGAGGAATGTGGGACGAAGCAGAAAGAATAACAAAGCAGTGCGAAACATGCATAGTGAACAACAGAAAAAGAGCAGCAGGGTACAACTACGTTGAAACGACAAGAAAGCTAGAGCTGGTAGGACTGGACATAATGAAAGAGGAAATAGAAGGCGTGTACATACTGGTCATGATAGACTACTACACAAGAGCAGCAAAAATGCACATACTGAAGAACAGAACAACAGAAGAAATCAAAGTAGGAATAGGAAGATTCATAAACAACTACGGAACACCAGAAAAAATAATAACAGACAATGCAAAAGAACTAACAAGCAGAGAAATAGAAGAATATCTGATAAACAAAGGGATAGAACACGAAAGAATAAGCGTAGAAGCCCATACAAGCAATGGAAGAGTCGAAAGACTGATAAGAACAATAAGGGAAGCAATAGTCAAACTAGACAGAAGAAGAGAGTTCAAAGAAAGAATGAAAGAAATAGAAATGAGCTACAACAGCACATGGCACTCAGCAATAAAGATGACACCGAACAGAGCGTGGGAAAACGAGGAAGAGGCCAGCGAAAGGAACAAAAAAGACAGCAAATACGGAAAAACATTCAAACACCAGGAAAGAGAGAAATTCTATGAGGGAGAACAGATAAAAATAGCAAAACACGAAAACCTAAAAGAGAAGCAGAAGAGCCAGAAAGGAAGATTCTATGATGACGGAGTAATAATGAAAGCATGCGGAAATGACGCATACATAGTGAAAAACGCAAAAGGACAACTAAAGAAAAAGACGTACAAGGAAATAAAAGGATTAAAAGAATTAAGAAAATCACTAGAAATGATAACCTCCTGCTAAAACAATGGGGGGCATGGTGATGTAAGAGACAAGCCTTCCATCAGGGGGGCATGTAAAGTATAAATACTTTATTTTTAAATAAATTCATGTCA